CGTGCGTTACTGCGATTTTATCATGAGAAGGGTGTTCTTAGGCACACTTCGCGTCGTGCCTCTCATGGCTTGTTGCTTTTTTAAAAATACATTAATAATATGACGTGGTTGAAGATTGGTCTGCATTATATTGATCTAAATAATTTGGAATACATTGGACTACATGAATACTTCATCAAAAACCACAGAGGAGTTCACCTGGAGCTGAGACTGGCCGAGATGTCAAAGCAAATAGTAAAAAAACACTGTGATTGTATCAGTATTGCAAAGGCCAACAATGTTGCACAGCTCTAGGACCGCTAGAGTGGTCATTCTGTTTGTACCTTTTGCCTTTTGGCCGTTATCCAGGGTCATTTTTCAAATTGCTTTTCTTTTACACTTCAAAACAACTTTCCTGTGCCCTAACCTTTTCTTCCAGGCTTCATCCGTTGCCAAAGATTTTCTGCAGGCTGCCTCCAAAAGCAGCATCCAAATAAATAGAGATCAGCTTCAGAGATTGGTCACCAACGCGTTAACGCTTGAAAAGAGCGGCGCACTTCAAAGAGCTATTATCAGCCTTAATCTCAACATACAACTTCATCATTTGGATAGAAAAAACCTGGAAACCCAACAGATGACATCACTTAGTTGGAGCTCACCATTTTTAGACCAGAGCTGAGGTCATTAATCTCTTCAAAGCGCTGCCCTCCTGAAAATCTCTGACAGTGTATCTACAGTGAAGCGGCTGTGTGTGTACACAGACGTTGGCTTTGGCGAGCCATCTCCAAAACAAATGGAGAAAGTGCTGAGGCCACAGCAGAGGCGCACGTGGTCCATCGCTCTGCTCCAGGGCCCTCTCCTTCTTCGGTGCTTTTTCACACCCCTTCTATCAACGGCCGCCACTCTTTTTCCAGCAGAGTGGAAAATCCCTCCACAGTGCGGGCAGCTGCTTTGTTTTGGCAGCTGCTGACCTCCATACACTCTCCAGTCACACAGCGCAGCACTGTCTGCTCATCACCTCAGTGCTCTGTTAAACTTTCGCTTAAACTGAAATGTAAACATCAGCCTCAGGGGGCCTTATACCACTGCTTTATACTTTATGGGCATGTGTCTGTGATCTACGTTGTTTTCACATTTAGTCATGTTATGTGGCTCTGTGCTGTGATGGGATCCTAAAGTCTTATGATACTAGTCACGTACTCCCCGGGCTGAAAGGATGGAAGGAAGCAGTGATTTTATTAGGTGTCCATATGACGGAAAACCTCATTTTCTTCCCTTTTTTAAACAAAAGATACAGTCACAAGTTTGGACACACCTGATTGCATGTTTTTCATAATCTTAAAGCTGCACTATGCAAGTTTTGGGGATTTGGAGACCTCTCTGGTGGAAATGTGTAATTGCCTGCTATAGCTATACTGGTCCAATGAATTAATGGCCATGGTTCCGTGAACACTACAAGAAAATAAAAGCTAGCTCTCTCAAGCTAGTGTCCATAGATATACAGGCCCCAACATGTTAGCATAACAGAAATGTGAGAAAATTAAATAAAACTGAAACATATCACGACCTGTCCAGGGTGTATCCTGCCTTCCACCCAATGACTGCTAGGATAGGCTCCAGCTCCCCCCATGACCCAGAAGAATAAGCAGCTTTCTGTCAACGTCACCCCTCTTTTTAACATCTTATGAAGTTTTAATAGATGGATGAACTCAAATAATCATGAACAACAAAAGACAGACAAAATTAACATATAAGTTACACCCGCGATGTGCAGAAGAACATTTTGTAACATGGGTTGTGTTTCGGACCCCTTCCCTGAGTAAATACATCTGATTGCAAGTGTGTTGAAACAGAATTCAAAGAGAACTCAGTCAAAACTTGGTGAAGGACGTGTCTTCCGAGGATGTGGGTGAATGATTTACTATAGTCATCATGTCTTCATCAGTATCATGTTGATTTTGCTTTTGAGACCTAAACATTCTGTCTGACCTTCTTTTTAGATCTGTGGTGTTAATACGTAAAACATATGACATGAAAATATCATTTGACCAGGGGTGCCCAAACTTTTGCATACAACTGTAGTTTGTGGATGCTGTTAAATCTTCAGTCGATACAGTCATTATCCGGAATGGAGCTGCATAGATCAGCCTTGTTATGACTTTTTAGTACTTAAATCGACACAAATGTCATGGTTGAACCACAAAAATTAACAATTAAATACAAGATTTTTTCGCTTTAACATTCTATTCAAGATAATTTGCCAATAACTGGCACGAGACAACAATATTATATAAATGTACTTCACCAAAGCTTTACCAGAATGTTCTACTGGATATAGTACCAAGTCCAGCTATACCCCAGAGTCAGTGGTGATAAACATCAAGTTTAAGTTCATTTTCACACTCGACTCGACTGAATTTCCACTCCTATAATGAAACAACTGAATGAGCTGATGAACCTTTAGGAGCTTCTGAGCCTCTGAGGAATCAGTTGGATCTGATTAGAGCTGCAATAAAACTCTGCAGGAGAATCAGCAGGAGATGAACTCATTAAGAATAACTTACTCCACTCACTGCTGCTGCACACATTCAGTTAAAAACTGCTGTTTTCATGAGAGAGTGGAGAGTAATTTATTAATGTTTATTCATACAGAACAGAATGCTTTGACTAAACATCTTCAGCAATAGTGTAGCTAACTGATTCTTAGTTTATCTTAGTTTAATCTTGGTTATCGCTACCCTACCTTCACAAGCCAAACTTCTGAGAGAGCAGAGAGTTTAATGTGTTGCCTACTTTGACAGGAAAGGGTGGTGTAGTGTATGTAGTGTGTGTGCATGTGTGTTCTAACCGTGCTGTTATTTCACCATAACAGCATGTTTTTTTCACACTGTATTGCTCCACTGAGACGCCGTTGCTAAGCAATGACTTTGACAGCTGTAGGAGACGCTGAAGCCATTTGAACGTTTTTACTTCTTACTTTGCCACAAACAGAAAATGGATACTTTTAAGATTTGACGACAGCCAATTTGGTCAGACTCTGAAGATGAAACTACACTAAATTCCCAAACTGTCATCACCACTGAGCAGCTTTTCAGTCGGCAGCTGTGACAGAAGAACAGCTAAACAACCTGGAATCAGCCAGAAATGAACCGAACAAAATGGGCTGTAAAATGCTTTACAGACTGGAAAACAAGAAGAATAGAATAGAAGAAAACAAGCGGACAAGGAAAAAACCGAGTGTGAAACGAGTTTAATGGGTTGTAGCTGGAGAACGAACTGCTGGCTGTGCAGCGAGTGAACGGAGCTCGTTATGATAATTTGGCAGAAGGAATTGCTAACATTAAAACACATTAAATGCCGCGTTCAAGGCCCAGTTTATTTAGAGGCCGTATATATATATATATATATGACCTCTAAATGACTAAAAATGTCAAGTAGTGTAACCACCAAGTTCTTACTTCCTCAAATGTCAAGCGGTATAACCAAAAACACAGGACTTTTATTTTGGCATGCATTGGTATTGCATCATAAAGAAGACACCAAGTGACCTTCATTGTGCAATGCCAAGGTCAGTCGCCCTTTCACAAATTTTGGAAAATATGTGATTGTTGAGTTGTGGTTACAACAATTCAGTTTACCATGTCAGGTGGTCTCACCTCAGCCAAACCTTGCAGATCTAAAAATGCACACTGTGCCCTTTTTAACACGAGTTTTAAAAATTGTAAACATAACTTATTTTCACTTGTGTAAATAATGCCTCCAATTATATATATTACTCTAATCTCTTATCACTGCACACCTGCTCAGATATATCCTCCTCCTCCTTAAGTAGCTTTTTCATTCTCAGTGCCATCTTGTTTTTGCAGTTCTTGCCTCTGCTGTCCATCTTCACACAATTCATGTATGAAAAAAACAAAAAAAAAGTAATAAACTCTGCAGAGCACTGCTTGTTGTGTCAGATTTAAACCATTGTGCTGAATTTAATATGCTAATCTCTCAAAAGTGATGTTAGCTTCTTATTTGAATTTCAGTTCCACCTTAAATAGTGCAGCAGTTAGACACTTGCGCCCGTATAGGTGTATGAATGCGCTACATCATTTAAGGTGGAATGAGAAACTTCAGCTTCATCTACTGTCTGTCCACTGAAAGTAACATCTACAGTTTGTTTTACTGCTTATATGCATGAGTTTATATATTAGCTCACAATAAACGGTAATAAATACAGCTTATCTGCTACTACTGTGTTCAGTTTCCATGTACTTTTTGCCATATTATTTTTTTGGGTTGGTTTTCATTCTTTTAGACTATTTAAAAATGCCAGCTACTCTGTACATTGTGTAAATATTTCAGATAGACCAATAGAAATGATCCAAAATTGCATGGAATTAAATCTGGTATATTAACATGCACTAAAGTTAAAAAGTAGCTCTAAAATTAAGCCAGTAGCTGCTAATTAACTGGCTGCTAACCATCACTTCATTAGACAATAACTAGGCTGAATGAGCCTTTTGTAAAGCATTTTATTTGTGTATTATACATAATTTGTTGCGCAGTATTTAATGATATGACATCCAACAAGTGCTTTGCAATCTGATGACAGTCTGATGAGATGCAATCTAATTAACCTCTCATTTAGGCATCGACAAGACGTTCTGGGAATAAGCCCAGTTCAGGAACGCACTGGGTCAGTCTTTATTTAGAGTTAAATGGATGTTTGTTATTGAGATATTGGCAGGAATCAAAAGCAAACAAACACATTACAGACAGCTTAGATAAATGATGTACACAAGATTACGATGTATAATACACAAACAAAAGTGCTCTATAAAACACTTGATTGTCTCTCTGGACTGCTTAATGAAGTCAGTTTTGCAGTTCATGGTTTGATGTTTTAATTACCAGCTATTGTCCTAATAAAGGAGCTATGAAAAATGATGAATTGAGTCAATTTATTCCTTCAGAAACGAGTTATTTGTGTTTCTTTGTAACACATGTATGTGTCTGTGTTTCTTGCTGTGCAGGTGAAGTGGAGTGGTAGTCCAGTGGAGTACAGTCTGGAAGGAGAGTTTCCAGAGATGCTCTTCACCATCAGCAGAGAAGGAGTCATCTACCTCAACGCTCCACTGGACAGAGAAACACAGGACCAGGTGATTGTTTCAAATTCACGGTCACGGGCTTTTGACTTGGGCTTTTGCTTTGATTGACCAACAAATGACTGAACATGACATTTTGTCACTACCAAAACAATCATAACACTACAGAAACTAGATAAATTTTAGGTAATTTTGAGCAGAACTCAAAATGCTAGCCAGTACCTGGCTGGCAAACATAGCTTTGAACAGTGGTACGTACATAAAATCATGAAGTTTTTAACTAAAACACAAAAAAATTACTTAATTGCAGAAAATGTGTGTCAGTAGTGACAAGAGCGTGGTGCTAATAACGCCAAGGTCGCGGGTTCGATCCCCATACGGGCCACTGACTTGGTTCCCTAACCATTGATCTCCTGAACCGACAGTACCCTTGAGCAAGGCACCTAACCCCCAACTACTCCCTGGGCGCTGCGGATAGGGCTGCCCACCGCTCCGGGCAAGTGTGCTCACTGCCCCTAGTGTGTGTGTCTTCACTAGTGTGTCACTGCACGGATGTGTTAGATTGCAGAGGTGAAATTTCCCCATTGTGGGACTAATAAGGGTCTCTTAATCTAATCTTAATACATACATAGTCTTAAAAAATGATCAAGCAATATAAAATCTTTACAATGTATATTTCCAGTCGTCCAGTGCTGCTTTAACGCTGCTGTGTCCTGCCTTTTCTTATTCAGTAGATCTAATCTAGGACAAGCACGAGATCTGAATGTGTAAACCACATAAATCAGCCATGTTATTGTGGAACAGAATGGAGCATTAGTCACAGCTAAAGTTCCCTGTGCCTGAGCAGCACATCCTTTCCACACATTATCAGCCTTTAGATGTGCTCCTCACTTCTTATCCCATTTTGGCACAATGCAATGTGCTAGTGTTAAGTCATTCAGAGTGGTTTGATATGAAATGGTTAATTGCAGAGAAACGTACGGACTCTGACTTCTTTACAGTGGTGGTAATTGGAACCAAGGCTTCAGTGTCTACAGTGCCAATAGAGCCTTTTCATTGACCATCCAAATAAATCAGAAAACCTATGTCTTCCTAGTTTTATACGTAGTGTTGATAATGATAAAATAGTGATAAATTCAAAAACAAATCTTTGGGGGATGTTTTGCCTTACAATGACATGCAGATACCTCTCCACCATGACTTTTGAAAATATGATTAAAGCAACATTATACAACAGTTTGACTTTAAAATAACAGCTTCAAAATCATTTTGATGGTACATTGACTTATATTGGGGAGAATGGTGACTCTGTCATTGTCACTCTGGGCTCAGAATGCCTGCTAGAGTGCTATGTAACTTTGGAGGAGCAGGCATGAGACTTCTCAACTGCGTAACGCTTTACGACACCACCGCAAGTTTACGGCTGAAAGAAGTAGCTCGGTATTCCCAGCATGGACATCATGGCAGAGGCTGCGAAGACACCAAAGACAACGTTGTCGGAGGAAGCGAGGAAGAGAAAAAGAGAGAGTGATCAAGCGAGACACTGGACAAGAGTAAATCTAGGATTGGCGACAGCTAAAAGAGAGAAAAGGATGCAAGACAGTCTCATAGCTAATGAGAAAACAATGAAAATCTGACAGCAGAGTGTACATGCCTGCCAGTCAGGGAGGTTCTAAAGGGGTGGCGAGGGTGGCCAAGACACCCTCTTAAATCTGACTGGCCTCCCCAGATGCCACTCCAAAAATTCTGCCAGGTCATTGGCTTTCACCTCGCTGTGGGGATGGGTTGTTTGCTGCGAATGAAACAACTCTCACCCCCCTTGCACATTTTCATTGTGAGCATGTGTCTGTCGGCGGTCAGTGAAACAACTCCCCAACACTCTGCCCCCTGCTCACACTTTTTCCTAGTGAGTAGTATCAGAAAGCGCGATTTGTATTTACAACAGTGGTGTAAACGTGAAATACACTCTGCAACTGTAGGGGGAGCCCAAGAGCAAAAATTCCAATTCTCGCATATATAATGCTGCTTTAAGGCCATAATTGTGTCTCAAAACTATGAAAAACTATGTCTCAGACATCCCACAATATGTTTATAACCATTTAGCGTAGTCATTTTCTGTGAGGGAGCTTTTAGAGGGGTTAAACTCAGACGTCTGGTTCCCATCACCACCACTGTGAACAATTCTGATTTGATAGGTTTCTCTAAAATGGAGCATTTGAAAGAATTTGTTTTCATCTTAACCATTAATTTATGTAGAAATTTTAAATATTAGTGCAATTCCCCTTTAAGGCAGGGCAAAAGTGGAAGCCAGTATTCCTCACAAACACTGGCATAACATAAACATGAGGGTTGGTGCGCCATACTCAGAGATGGGTAAAGTGGTCTAAAACCCATCCCCCAGTGAAAATGTTGTTACTTGAATTAAAGCATGAAGCAGAAGTAAATCTACCATAGCAGAAACAACTTGAGTGGAAAAACAGGTCCAAAAACTCCTCCAGTTCTTTTGGGATTCTTTCAGTCTAAAATAAAATGCCAAAGCTCCAAAGTGAGAGGTGTGAGCAACAGCCAAGCAGACAAGCAGCTGAATCAACGCAACAGAATGAAATTAAACCCATAAAAGGAAGTGGGAGCCAAACAGGAATGGCCAAAATAAAACTGAGAAAATTCACATTAAATTACTCATAAGTACACTTGAGTAGAAGTAGAAGGATTATTACTTGGAAATACACAGATAACTACAACTATATAAACATTTTGGTAGCACTTCAGTATAGGGCGGCATTGTACCGCCATTGTAATTGCTTTATTAAGCTTTATCAAGCCAGTAGATGTTAATTAACTGGCTGCTTATTACTACTCAATAAAGCAATATCGGTAACACTTTCTATGAATGTCACCTTTGTAAGCATCTATAAACACATTCATAACATGTTATAATGCATTCATAAGGCATTATAAACATGGCTATAAATATTTATAAAAATGCATTACACGTTATAGCCATGCTTATTATGCATTATGAATTGTTAACATAATACATCATAAGTACCGATCATAAGTCATATTTGTCCACTCTAAGTAAAGTGAAGCGTACTGTACTAAAGCCTCCTCCAGTGTTAAGAGTGAGGCTTCAAGTTGAAGTATTTACTGAAGGATTTACTGAAACACTTCAACATACAAAGTACAGCACATTACAGGCTTCAAATGTCAGAGTTTAAACTAGTGCACCCATCAGTGTTTTACCCAGTGTGGGAAAGGTAATGTACACCACCGTTAGCTTGGTATTTGTCTTTGCTTTACACTCTCCAAGCTGGGACTGACTTCTTTGGCACTGACAGTATAACATTTTTTAACACTACTTATAATGCATTATATTAACAATTCATAATGTATAATAAACATGGCTATAAAGTGTAATTAATTTTTTATAAATGTTTATAATCATGTTTATAATGCCATATGAATGCATTATAACATGTTATGAATGTGTTTATAGATACGTACAAATGTGACATTCATAGAAAGTGTTACCACAATATCTTCATTTGTGGATATCATTATCTGTTGCACTGATATGAAGACATCCAACAAGTACTTTGCTAAAACAATGTGATTGAGAGAGAAAAAGCAAGAAAAAAGAGGAAAGTCTACTGGGCTTTGAGTACCTGCAGTTCTAAATGAAAATATAAAGAAGTAAAAATTATGTTTTAAGTAAAAAGAGTATTCAGTTCTAATAAAATTAGGATAAAATTATCCAAAATCTTCCAAAATAATACATAAAAACAGTATTAAAGTACAATTACTGACATATTTTCCACCCCATGTGTGTATGTGACAACAGAATTAGGAGTTTTTTCTCTTTCTCTCTCTGTCCAGTTCCACATCAGTATTGTGGCGGAGCGGCCGGACGGCAGGGAGATCGCTAAGCCCGTAGAGCTGAGGGTCATGGTGGGAGACGCTAATGACAACAGGCCCACCTTCCCTCAGATGCAGTATCACACTGTGGTCAAGGAACTTGCAACGAAAGGTCACCCACACATATACACACACAGTCAGATGATCATTGCGGTCAATCAGCATTCATTTAGATGGTCGTCTGTGAACATTAACATTATCATAGGATAATATCAGTCATTAGAGTGAATCACTTACAAATATATAATAAAAGACAGAAATAAGCAGAGAATAAACAGAGAATAATTCCCTCTTTTTAACTCCTTCTTTTGGATAAGCACTGATACTGCAGCCTCATCTGACCACAGCCCTGGCCACTACATATTAAATTGACTGCATTGCAGTGCTTTTATTAACGCACTCTTGGTTTTTATCATGAATGTCTCCTATGTGTTTTCACTGTCACACAGGAACTGAAATTCTCACAGTGCAGGCGGCCGACAATGATGACCCCAAAACGGATAATGTGCGGATTTTTTACCGGCTGGCGGGGCAGGTGCCCGAGAACCCCCGCAACCTGTTTCGCGTTGACCGAGACTCAGGGGTCATCACAGTGCAGGCCGACAGCATGGAGGGCACAGCTCCACAGTACACACTCACCATCACTGCAGAGGACGCTAAAGGTTACACACACACACAGGTTTTTGATATACAGTCAGGGCCTGGTGTCATTTATATATACATATATATTTATATATAGAACCCATATATGATATATTTCACATGTATAATTTCTATGCATTTCTATATAGTTCTACAGAGAACTTCTATATATTAGGAATACGTATTTTATATATATATTTTATATATGTCCCATATATATGTTTATAAAATAATGTCCTATATGTATTATTTAAATGTGTAAGATTGATGTAATATTTTATATATATATATATATATATATATATAATATATATATATATATAATATATATATATAAGGGGAAAAAAGGTTCTTAACTTTGGATGCAAGTTAATGAAACAAGATTTTTTCCCAAGTAATTTTGGAGGCCTAATCCTAATTTTTGCTCTGTAGCCAAAACAAAGGTTTTGCTTTTCCAGTGTTAAAAATGAAAATGAAAAAAAAATGAAAAAAAAAGCATTTTTCCTCTATTCACAGTGCAACCAGACTCACACACACACACGCACATTCTGCTTGAGTGTGGAAACAGACTGAAGCACAGGTCTATCCCAGTGTTCATATTTTCCCATGAACTGAATATGACCCTCAGTTTTTTGGCGTCCCTCTCAGATCATGCTAAATATCACACACACAGGACGTGACATTGTGTTTACAAGAAACCCTGCATTGCAGCCCAGCGCTGAGATTTATTCTGTACTGTAGCCGTATATTGTTTTTTCAAATGAGTCTTTTAGTTAGACGAGCTGATTTGATCAGTCTGTTAACTGGATGATTGTCATTTGACAGCCGCTGCGTGATATGTGAGATGTGTCATATCAAATGTGTCACTTGAAGTGTGGTCAGGATGGTCAGGAGGTGATATCATATGACGCATCATAAGTCATTACAGTGCTTGTCATTTTCATGCCATGCTGTTTGTTATTAAGTGTTACAGTATGATGAGTGATGGATGTGAACCGTGATGTTTTGTGAAGAACTAATGGCGTCCTCCTCTCTCTGGACCTTCTGCAGGACTGAACAGCTCCTGCACTGTAATCGTCAAAGTTCTGGATGAAAACAACAATCCACCAGTCTTCTCTCAGCATGAGGTAGGGTTACAGTGTGCGTGTGTTGTACCTTTATAATATATATGATAATACACACAGACCATAAAACCTTACTTCACATTTTAGATATCCACTTTTGGTGTTTTAATGAAAACAAGATGAAAGAATTAAGGTAAACTTTCACAAAAGTAAAGGTATGATATTATGTTTAGTGGCTGAGGCTTTAATGTTCTGTTAAATACAGTTCTGTGCAAAAGTCTTAGACACCTAAGCAAAAGTTGTAAACCATTGCTCTGTGTAGTAAGTGAACTTTGTCAGTAAAACAATATAGAACATTACACTAAATACATATAAACACAAATATAGTAAAATGTACCAACAGTTTCTTGTTTTCAGAAAAGTAGTTGATGTCTTGTGAGTTAGTTAGAAGAGCAAAGTTTGGTTCCAGTTTGGTTCGATTCACTCCAGCCACTACATAGTTTTGTTATTTGACCAATAAGACACCTGAATTATTTTAATGAAGGGTAAATTAGCCAAACCAGCTTTTTAATGATAACTACAAATGATGCAGGGCATGGGTGGTGGTTTTCTGCTCACAGCACTCCAAACAGAGTGTTTAAATTGTATTCAGATGAAGCTCCATTTATTCACAAGCGAATTCACAACACCTCCATCGTTTGACGTTTAATATCCATCATCTGGATAATGACCAGCACTGCACATTGAGCTAATAGGCCTCCATTTCCAGTGTAAATATATTTTATAATATTGACTAAATTGATTCAGAATTGCAGTTTTTATCTTTTAAATGTCAAATTCCTGGTTACACAACAATGACTAACAATAGTTCATTTTTTTCTTCTTGTCATGCTGTTATGAGTGTCATGTCCATATTATTGTCCATGACACAGAATGACACAACGGCACCATTGCCAGCTTTGACGTTAACTATGACGTACGAACGAGTCTTTAGAGCTGATTAGGGGATTTAACCCTTACATGTCTAGAGTTATCACTGCCGTTTTGCTGTATTATTTAAATGCTTAATTAATGTAATTAATTACATAGCTAGTTATAGAATGAATCACATTTATTTACTTAATTAACTTTTTAAAAGCTCCAACTAGTCAAATAGTCAGTATAAAATTACAACATGCTTTCATTATCAACAGTGATACAGTTGTATGCAAACTTTTTGACATGTTTTGTTGATTTTCTTTGTGAAAATAAGTGAACACATCCTCTACAGAGAACGAACTTAAATATGACATTTTTTTTGCAAATTTGTTAAATTTCTACATTTGTTAAAATCTATTTAAATAAACAGTGATTATGCATTAAAATGTGCAGAAGTGTGTTCTCTGTAGAGGATGTGTTAACAACAGGGGTGCCCAAACTTTTGCACACCCTGCACCTTATAACATTTAAGCCCACAAGATTTATGTCTTTTATAATTTTCTGTAAAGTGTTATACAGCTTTTGAAAGTCATGCATGAAAGTTAACATGCTAATAATGCGCTTGCGGGAGACCTGTAGAAAAACCAACAAGCAGCTAACTAACAAAAGCAGCAGCAAAGTGGAGCTCCAGTTCTCATCAAGATCCTCCACTGCAACAACAATCAATGAGCTGTATGAATGAGAGCATACATATAATAATACTATATCCCTCATGTATTATGCATATGCCTAAATGCCTATGCATAAGTACCTATATGTAATAATAATATGTCTCAGAGAAGTTAAAACACTGACTGTATAAATGATATATACACACTCATTGGCTGGTACATGCAGCCACTGTTGCTCTCACTGGATGTCAGTGATGAAAACTGGAAACTGATTTTCATGGTTGGGTTAATATGAACTCTGCATTCACATGATAAAAATAGTATTACTGACTTATTAAAAGGAAAAAATACAACTGCAATAAAATGTGAATAATCCTGATTAGTCACACAAAATAATACAATTAATCATAATTAATTATTTGAATCGTTTGACAGTCCTAACAAGAGTACAGTCACATGCTGTAGACAAATTAATGCTGAACCTGTTTAAATGAGTCACTGGTTGTACAAATGGGTTCTCATTATACACCGATCAGGCATTATGACCACCTCCTTGTTTCTGCGCTCATTGTCCATTTTATCAGCTCCACTTACTATATAGGTGCACTTTGTAGTTCTACAGTTACAGACTGTAGTCCATCTGTTTCTCTGCATACTTTGTTAGCCCCTTTTTGCCCTGTTCTTCAGTGGTCAGGACCCCCATGGACCCTCACAGAGCAGGTACTATTTGGGTGGTGGATCATTCTCAGCACTGCAGTAACACTGACGTGGTGGTGGTGTGTTAGTGTGTGTTGTGCTGGTCTGAGTGGATCAGACACAGCAGTGTTGCTGTGTCTGTGTTGAAACAGATGGACTACAGTCTGTAATTGTAGAACTACAAAGTGCACCTATATAGTAAGTGGAGCTGAGAAAATGGACAATGAGCGTAGAAACAAGTAGGTGGTCATAATGGTATGCCTGATCGGTGTAAGTATGTTTAATGAGTATCAGTGTGCCTACAGGTCCCATATATTACATTATTCTTGCATTTTATTTTTTCCCTGAGGTCCTCTTATAACATTTGTGTTTTTCTTTTGTCTTAGCAGTCTTAATTCATTCTTTAATGATCATTTTCTGACAACCCTGCTGTGTCTTAGAGACTAGGACAGGTAAATGGTCTCTGTTCTGATTGCCTGCTTTGTAGTGTCTCTCATTCAAAAAGTAGTCCATGCTGCAACACTCTTTATAGCTTCAGCATGAATAGGCTGGGCTGAACTGCTGAAGGCCGTTTGAATTTCTATGCCACTTTTCAACAGTATGTCAAGGCATGCAACCTGCAAAAAGCAGCACATTCTTCCACATCCCTTCACCAAGCACATCCCTAACTGGCTCTTTTTACGTAACAAAGTGAGGGAAATCCTCTTTGCGTGTGCTCCTGATCTGACTTCAGGGAAGACTTCTTGTCCTGACGTGATCTTCTAAAAATGGCTACTTTTCTTCGTCTCCTCAGCAGCCTGTTATGATGCATGAAGGCATGCAAACTATATGGGCCACCATTATATAAAAGAGCTTTGGATGCATCTCTGATGTCACTGACCTATTATGAAGATGTGATGTGTCTGGCTATAGAACAAAGGTTGGGTCTCTGGCTGGGTGATTCAGAGCAGACTGAATAAACAAGTAGCGCGAGGGATGACGAGGCCTCCGGGATGAGAGGGGGATGTAGGACGGATGCAGACAGGGGCTACTGCTTATTAAAATGATAAATGATTGTATGAGCTTAATTTAATAATGTGAATGAAACAAACAAACAAACAAACAAACAGACTGGAGTCAGTATATATGAACTTTGCTACCTCAAAATGCAGCTTTGGTTAATGACATTTTCAGTATGTAAGTCAAGCAACCCCCCTGGTTCATTTTTTCAAAGTGCTTTCTGGAAAATCCCCCTGCATGAGCACACCCACGCTGCGTGAATAATACAGGAGCCAGGAGTTGTACGTGGGCACAGAAAGCTGTCTTTAAGATGAAGGGAGGAAAAAACAATAAAGGAGCAAAGAGGCCTGCTATGTCGGGGTGCCTCAGTGCAGTATATTTAGATCCTGTTTGAAGGATGATGAAGGCTGAGACAGGAAGACGTGCGCTGCTCTGCATTCAAAAAACACCTAGAAAGTGCTGAACGCTGGATGTAAGCCAGGAGGAAGATGCATAGGCACTGTCACTGTGCATTCCCCCTGCTGCTGACAATGAAGCTGAGCATTTCTCTGAGACCAGGCCAAGAAGTGCAAGATGGATGGAGTCTGAGTCTGAGCTAATGCGTTTAGACACTCCAAAACAGGTGCCAGCAGTGAGTCATAGACACATGCACATATCTGGTCAGCTTAAAGAGATATTTCAGCCAAAAAACAAACGGACGCACTTTTTCCCTTTACCACACACTGTTAGAAGTAAAGGTTCTGCGCAGGTGCATGTTTCATTCATCAAGGTACGAACAGTGTAAATGTTCTCTCAAAGGTACAACAGTGGTTTTAAAGTCCAATTGTGCACCTTAAATAAGGTTTTTCCATATTTGTACCTTTTTATAACCTAATGTTTTAAAATAGAACAATAAACTAAAAATCCTGGAGATGAGGCAGGGTGTGTGGAGTCAGTACAACTTAGAAAATATCATTTCAATGGATTATGTTACATGACTAAAGGCACTAAAATGAACCCTTGAGGGTCCCAACCCAGTGACAGTTTACTACCTTTATTTCTGAGAGTGCAGATCCAGGACATGTTTGCTTCCAGGACATGTTTGCTTCTTTAGTTTTGCACTGGAGCTATGAGGCTACTGTAGCTAACTGCGCATGGTGCCCAAATCATCACACCTTTGCCCCAAATTATGTCGTGTTGGTAAGTAATCTGAAATAAACTTGCTTATTTTGTTTCTGACACTGTATGACATGCTGTTATTTTTTAAATGGACAAAATTCAGGCTTCTACTAGTAACGGGTGATACACCAGTTTGTCCAGTATACAGCTTGAGTAACTTTTATACCAGTATGTCACAAATAAGCGTAGAAACAGTGCAAAACACACTATCATTAGCCTGTTTAGCTTAGCTTAGGGATGTTTCAGTCACGTTTCAGTGAAAATGAAAACGCAGCAATCCCTCATCTACCACTATGTACTAACACACTATAATATTTATATATATATAAATTAATTTATAATATAAAGTATATTTTGTCATTGTCCTATTGCAGCCAGCCTTTATTTCAACTTCAGTTTATTAACTGACTTTGTCATATTTGATATTTCCTTTTTTTAATTATTGGAATCTATCCTTCCATCTATCTTCCATCAGTGGTTCTTGTGTCACACCACCCCAAAGCATAATAGATCCACTCCCAGGCTTAACAGTTGGCAAGGTGTTCTTTTCATCAAATGCTGTTCCTTTTTTCTCCTGTCTAACAAGATCTAATGTGTCCAAACCAGCACTGAAGTGTCAATTAATGAGATAAAAAAGTTAGCAGATGTTTAGCAGAATGGTGTCCAAACATGCAACAGTTAATATTTAATCTCTTTCTATTTTTAAAGTTCATCCAGCTTAGAAAATGTTATTTTTTAAAATAGTTTGCTGCAGAGGTTGTGTTTAATTTTTGCCATAAAATCAACAAAATATGCGCAATCCTTTGCATGCAACTGTACTTTTGATCATTTTTTGTAGATAACAGTATGTCATACAGTGTGAAAATCACATAAACAAGTCTATTAGAGATTATTTACCAACTCAACAGTTTGAGGCAAGTGTGTGATGGCATGTAGTTAGCAAAGTGCTAATTGAATTCATGGATATAATCTTCCATTACTTCTTAACCTTGCATTTCCAGTGCAAAGTAAACAAACAAACTTCAGACACTAAACATGTCTTAGCTAATCGACTGCATTTGGGGTAAGAGGGAAATCTTTGTTGATTTGGAAGAAAGTGGCTGCACCACATGGCCAAGAACCATCGAGTTGTGTTTTTGAACCAAGCTGCAAACATCCTGCCTTTTCCACAGTGCCCTCAAGCACGGCACTTAACAGCAAGCTTTTCCACCATGACTGTCCCAGAAATTGGCGAAGACTTGGAAGATGGATGGAGTGTGAGCTAATGCACTTAAGACTTCTAGAAACAGCTGCCAGCATTGAATTATGATCGCTTACAGGCTAGTGCATCCCGCTCACCTTAGCGCTCAGGTGGTGGAAGCCCCCGCGGCCACGGAAGCTGGCCATGAAATGCAGTATCTTGTTTTAGAGTCAAAAACATCCTGTGTGTATCACAGTGCCATCAAACGAAGCACTTAAGTGCAAGTTTTTCAGGAGGTGACTGGCAGCAATTGGTAATTGAAAGTGGCTTTGGGCTAAAGCGTGAGCTAAATCTCATACAACTGTTATTTTGTTGTCTGTTGAAACTGAACCTCGTTCTCTCTCTCTCACATATCATAAGGTGGAAAAAGCTCTTGAGCAGGTTGTGATGGTGTGGCCATGTGAGTGCGTGATGGTGGAGTGGCGTGTGAGTGTTGACAGCGGTTGGCCAGGCAGATCAGAGGCTCCATACGAATGGCTGATTACCGCTCTCCCAAACATAGTGATAGGGCCTGAGAGGGACTAACACTGCAGGAACACCTTAGCTTATAAATACATACAGTGCATCTGAAAGGCCTATATTACAGTTGTATGCAAAGGTTTTGTCAAAAAAAACTGTGGCATGTGCAAAAGGTTTGGACATAATGCTAAGTCATACTTAATAACACCTCTTTAGGAAATATCAATGCTTGCAAACACTTTTTGTAGCAAACTAGGAGTCTTTCTGTTCTTCCTGTTCTTGCTTTAAGAACATTCACCCATTCTTTTTCACTCATTCTTCCCATCCCACGCTTTTAGTTCTACAAAATTCTTGTGCCGTCTTACACGCACAGCATGGCAAGATCTACCCACAGATTTTCAGTGATGTTCAAGTCAGAGGACTGTGAGGGCCATTTTAAAAGCTTCAGTTTGCATTTGTTCATGTAGTTCATACCGGATTTTTATGTTTTGGATCACTGTCATATTGTAGAAGCCAGCCTCTCATCAGGTTCTTTTTTTTGACTCTTGAGCTGGTTGTGTTACATTTGCTTCCAGAATTTTCTTATATGTAGTGAAATCTATTCTTCCACCTACCTGTGCAATGTTTCCCGCACCACCGACTGCCATATAACCCCAAAGCGTAGTACATCCACCCCCTTAACAGTTGGCAAGGTGTACTCTTCATCAAATGCTGCTCTTTTTTCTTCCCCAAACATACCATCTGGCCATCTACTTTTTCAGTCCAAAACATTTGTTTCCACAATCTCTCTGTCTTATTTTGATGTGGTTTTGCATTTTTCAGATGTTGACTTTTGTGATGAGGTCACAGATAAAGTGACTCTTTCATGCAGATCATGTTTGTGCAAACAACACTGCACAGTAGAATGCGGCACCAACATTCCTACGTCAAAAAAACGGTAAAAACCACCTGCAGCTTCTTTGCTGTCATATGGGGGTTTTGCTTTGCCTTTCTGGCCAGTATATGAGCAGTTCTATCAGAGAGTTTTTTGGGGCATCAATATGTTGCCTTGACTTCCACAGTTGCCTATAACTTTTATTTTTAATCACATTTTGGACATTTTGAGCTGGAAGTGCTTTGATATCTTTTTACAGCTTTATCCTGCATTGGAGGCATTATTTATGTTTTGAACAACTGTTCCACAGTGTTTTGTTGATTTTCAAGTGACAATAAGTTATGTTTTTGCAAATTGTTGAAAATAATATAACATTTTATATATATATATACATATGTATACATGCATTTTATAAAATATAAAAAATGTGTGCAATAATCTGTTGCACTGCCGGAGAAATGACTTGGTCCCCCTAATCTACATGTAAAGGCGTGCAGTAACAATAGAACTGAGTTTAAGTTGATTTGAGTTAATAACAGCAGGTGCATAAACCTTAGGCTACATATGCAGCAGGAAGAGTTATTACATGCAGAAATGTATTAATGCTCAGATGAGCGTGTGCATAGGTCATGCACGTGAGTGTCTATATCTAGGTTTTTGTGCAAATGTGTTCAGCCCCTGGTAGCAGAAGTAATTAACATTTGTGCCTGTCTCTGAGGATGCAGCGCTGACGCAGCGCAGTGAGTGACAGAAGCGTTGTGCTTTGATTTAAGCTGATATGTTTTACATTAGTCACATAATTTTCCTCCCTTATCTGTCTTGCTCACCTATTCTTCCCCTCTTCCTTTGTCTCTTTCTCTCCCATTATCTGCACTCCTTCATCTCTGGCTCCATCCCTCCTGCCTGTTGTTATCCTCTTCCTCTTCGTCCTCATCATCCTCATTCTTTTCCTTTGCATTTATTGTGCTTTTCTTATCACACCACTCTCTCTTCCTTTCTTTCTTTCTTTCTTTCTCTCTTATTCTCTTTTTATTGGCTTTATTGGCACAAATTGTATTTAACAACTCTAGCAAAAGCAATAACAGAAATGCCTAAAGTTAATAGTGATAATATTTTCAAAGAAAGTTAAGTGTCTGTCTCTCTACTTCTCTCTTTCTCTCTGCTTCTCTCGTTCTCTGTCATCTCTTACTAAGTATGGGCCGTTTCACCTGGCGGAGGATGCTCCGGTGGGTGCCACAGTAACAGCAGTAGCAGCGTGGGATGCTGATGAATGGGGTGGAGACAGCTGGGTGGTGGATTATAGGCTGGAGTCTGGTAATGAGGAGGAAGTCTTCACCCTGGTGACGGACAGACAGACCAACGAGGTCTCCCTCGTCCTCGATAAGGTATTCACACACTCTTCAGACTTACAGTAGTTATTTTGCTTGATACTCCTGCCCAGGGTAGTTCAAATTAAATCCACTGTTAAAGATTCAGCTAGACAAGCTCGTTCGGCTGACAAACTCAAATAACACGTGCTAGTGGGATGGACAGCTAGCTAGCTAAACTTTCATGCACTATGCTGAACTGTAATATCACTACTAACATAACATGTTAACACAAATGTTAATCCATTGATTTCTAAGCAGATAAAGCATTGATTTCTAACAACTTTAGTACTATTAACAGTGTTAGCTGTCAGAACTTAGGCCTAGAACAGGCATGTCAAAATGCTTCTGGGCCAAAATGCTGCAGATATTAGCGTTTACCCTCATCTAACGCTCTGAATTCAGTTCATGAAGGCCTTGCTAATTAGCTGATGAGCTCTTTAATGAAGCAGCATGCTAAAGTCTGCAGTGTTCTGGCCTGCAAGGACTGGAGCTTAATACATGTGGCATAGATAGTTAGCTTCATTACCATTTTAAGTGCAACAGGTCTTACTTCTATTTCTTAATTCGTATTTCTCTGCATTTGACAGAGAATCAATTCTAAAGTGATTTAGGATTTTAAGCACATTCAGAGGTGGGTGAATGTAGCATTAGGATTCTTGCTTAAGCACTTTCAGTGGCATAGCATGATGTGCCTGCCCAGGCCAGGAATCAACCCTCTGACTTCCACATGGAGAGCAGTAGTATTACCCAATGTGCTATACCAATGTGTGTCCTTTCTAAGTGCTCTTTAAGGTATCTTTGCAGACCAATTTGGCCATTTCTTGATGCTTTCAAAACTTAGATCAGGCATTTTCTCATAACTAGTGAGTTATACTTCTGTGTAATCGTATCTGCTTCAAGAGAAGGGTTAAATGGTTAAGCATAGGTCATAGCAGCTTGCAGAGGCCCCAAAGTGCACACCTCAAAATCTCAACTACACATTGCGTGAATCTACAGGGCTTTGCATCAAACAAACACAAACTGGCTATCCAATAGCGCTTCATGTACCCAGCATCAAACAATAACTCCACCAGACCTAATGCAAAATCAATATGTAGCAGTTTGAAGATTGAAAAGTTTAAGTGATCATCAATTATAGTATAAAAAACTAAATTTAATTAGCACTTTGTTTCTTTTTTGCATTGTCTACAACTTAACAACATGAGACTTTCTTCTTTTCTCTTCGTTTTTGTACATGCTGGTGATGCTTTATGCTTAAAAATAATAAAAATAATGAAAAGTTCTGAGCTCTACAATAATAAATAAATGGTGCAGCGGTTACATTCTGGCACCTCAGGCATCAAAACTGCTGCTCCAAAAATTTGAACAAGAAGCTAGCAAATAGTTGACTTCAGCTTCATATCACTAAATAATTAGGGGTGGGCGGTAATAAATAATTATTATTATTATTAATCATAAGGCATATGATTCCCTAAATGTAACTAAAGCCCAGCAGTGAAGTTGCTGAACTTTACCCTCCTCTGCTGTTACTGCAGACTGGCAGGGTCGCCTACAGAGCAGCGCTAGTAGCCTGTTAACAAAGTAATGTTCTTTTATTTAGGGGTTGTCCCATTTAAGGTGAAGCGGGAAATTTAGCTAGCTAGCTAGCTACCAAGACACCAGCATACTACTTGCGATTTTTTATGATTATTATGAAGAAAAAGACCATAATACATTGAAACAACATTAAACGTAAGATAATACAGTGGTTATCATAATTTTTAACAGAAATTCTCACATTTCTGGGGTTTTTAGTCACTTGTGCAGCCATCTTGCTGGTTTGAAATGTGCCTCTGAAAAACCTCCGCCTGGAGGGCCATATAGCACTAACACTTTGCCCTACCCCTCTATCTCAACACAAATTGGGACACCCTACCCTTAGGCATGAACGAGCAAAAGGGGGGGGCTAAGTGGTAGAGGCGAGGGGTGAAATGGGATTGGGCTTTTGATTGTAGCGGTTGCATAGAACAGTGGATAACACCCCCTACACATAAACAGAGCACTTAATATAGTGTGCACACAAAGCTGGCCACAACTATCAGGATTTTATCCATTGCTTTCTTATTGGCTAGCTTCTCTTCCATGCAGCGTTTTTGTCACCCGAACAAGAAATTAAGTTTTTTTCTGGCTAAATTGTGTGAGGAAGAACAGCAAGATACATCTGTGGGATTTTCACAATCGTGTGATGGGCTTAGAGTGGTCGTTTTCATGTCAGTCAAATGGCCTCTTCCTGACGAGGCAGGCAGGACTCTGGTTTGTGAGACTAGCCTGCTTCTATAGCAATAAGAGCCCTTGAGAAAAGGTTCCTAATGATACCTTCACATACCATTGCTGCTAAATATGTGAATGTCAATGATAGTGGGCTTCTGAAGGTGATAATGCGTTGTAAATGAATGCATGCCTTTTCATCACAGAATACATCGCCCACACATGCACTAGACCGGAATCAGTGAGAATAGCTTGAGCTTTATTGGGCTTGTGTCTCAAAAATGATCTCCAACCTTCTGCTCAAGTGAACGTGAACCTCTTATGAACCCATCCTGCATGCCCCACCCACCCGGAGAGCTCAGTAATCCCAGCCAAATTCCCTCCACCCAGCCTGAATCAGGACTGCAGAGCAAACCTAGGTTGTTACCAGGCTATGACCAAACAGTGGACAGGCAGTGCTAGGACACTGGCAAGAGAGAGAGAGTCATGCTGTGTGGACGTGTGCCTCTTTTGAACAAGATGACCTATATTTCATACCAATGAAGCATGGTGAACTTTCCACTATTAGTGTTAGCAATCTTCATTACCTGACACTGATTTGCAAGTGACAGTTGTTCTGTATTTTTAGTTGCTTTTAATAGTCTGCAGCATGAGGTACGGTAAAGAGTCCAGTGTCAAGATATGGATACTTGTTAAAAAATATTCCAAACAAAATAAATGCCAAGTATACTTATAGCAATGCATCTCGATTTTGTTTACCTGAGTGAAATGAGTGCTTCAGCCTTTCCAGAGGCGCTTTCCTGCTGTTGCACTGAAGACCAGCCAAATTGAGTAATTGCATTGTGCTCTAAATGAAGAGAAACTAATTGCAGTGTTTGGTGTTCTCGCTGTGAGCCGCCTCGGCTGGAGACTGCATTGTGTTCAGCAATTCTCAGCTCCACAGTAAAACGGCTGCTTTGGATAAACATCGGTGACAAATGGAATTTGCCGCTGCCACCAAGCGTGTTAGAAGGGAGCTGTGATGGAGATACAGTTGTCAGGACAAAATACCAATGTTTTTGTTTTTGTTTTGACTCTTATGAGAGGATTGAGCGGATTTGAGCCGAGCACAGATCTGGTGGAGGGTAGCAGGTGTGGTGAGCTCACTCAATCATTTTGAGCAGAACAGGCAGAGGATTACATACACACACAAACTCACACACACACACTCTAACTTGCATTTCTATCTTTGTGGAGCATTTCTATGGTCTTCTGAATGTGGTGGCAAGCCGTGACTACTACAGCTAGGCCTTCAGTTTGAGCCATAAGTCTAAAATTGTGAAAAAAATCTCTAAGATAATGCCAATTTCTTCTAGCACCCCTTTGGAATTCTAAGACTATGTTAGCACTAAGCTAACATTGATGCACATGCACATCTTTTGGCTGTTCTAGATTAAACACAGGCATTTGAAGCTTGTCAAAGACATACATTGTATCAGAAGTCTGTAACAGACGTTAACATATATTTTACCTTGTAGTTTTACAGTGACTCTTTCAGGAAGGAACCCTGACATAGGGCTGTCACCGCTGTTTACCATTTCTTATTGAAACCTGGATAGATTACAGCTTGTATTCACAGTCAGTGACATATCTAGGACTGCTAGAAAGCAGTTGCAGGCAATGTTTTTTCTCAGTAAGTTAGTCCTACCCATTGTAAATCAAAATGTCATTGGTGGATTTCACTGTCACTTCGTAATTTTGTCAGAATCCCAGTGATATCACAGTCCTTCATGGTCAGTAATCTAGCAGAAAGCCCTCATCCCCAAGGCTGGGGGGGGCCAATGTGATGGTGCAATTGGTGCACCACTGAGGGTCAGCAAATGGTAACTTCCAATAGCATATACTGCAGAGACTTTGGATGTTTGAGATTCTTATGAATCCGAAGTGCTTTATGTATGCTTCAGTACTGTTTTTATTTTCCGATCATGTTTGGAGCAACATCCTTATTTTATTATTTCGGTTGTTCATTTAGAACTATATACAGAAATCAGTTGTATAACTTGTAAAATTGTCAAAAAAACATGATGACTCAAGAGTGACTCTCTCTCTCTCTCTCTCTCTCAAAGAACTTCGTCCTGTCTAGCAAGAGAGCTGCAACATGCACTTAGTTATATTTTTTAAACAGCAGATTTCTTCCGTTTACCATAAAATAGCACAGGTAGCTCAGTGTTTGGAATACTGTAAGTCAGAAATGACTTCGGTGGAAGAGTGTTGCTTGCGGAGAATTGTCTGGCCTTCGTTAGACTTGACACCGAGATGGAATGGAAGCAGTGTGTCACTCATCTCTCCAACTGCTCATGCTGACACACTCTGCATATGGAAAAACAGCTCAGCTGGACAGCTTTTAGAGACATCCTGAACAGTCACATTCTCCTGGAACAGCCTGAGTGATCTGAGAGCTGCTACCTCTACAGCCCTTGGCCTCCTTCATCCCCTTTTTGTCTCAACACTTTGTAGATTAATTCAAAAATCAAATTGACATCATTTTCATGAAGTGTAGTACAACCCCAACCCCCAGGAATGTTGTCCTATTCTTGTCTGATGTAGGATTCTAGCTGCTCAACAGTCCTGAATCTTCTTTGCTAGATTTTTCGTTTCATGATGCGCCAAATGTTTTTTTTTTATTGGTGAAAGGTCTGTTCTGCAAGCTAGCCAGTTCAGCACCCAGACTCTTCTTCTGCGAAGCCATGCTGTTGTGGTGGCTACAGTATGTGGTTTAGCATTGTCTTGCTGAAATGTGCAAGGCCTTCCCTGAAAAAGACATTGTCTGAATGGCAGCATATGTTGTCAAAACCTGCATATTTCATTCAGCATTAATGGTGCCTTCACAGATGTGCGAGACACCCATGCCATGTGCACTAATGCTCCCCTATATCATCATGAATACTGGCTTTTGAACTGTGTGCAAATAACAAGCTGGGAGGTTTTTAGCCTGGAGGATTCAGTGTCCATTGTTTTGAAAAAGAATTTCAAATTTTGATTCATTGGACCACAGGACACTTTTCCACTTTGCCTCAGTTGAGCTTAAATGAGCTTTGGCCCAGAGAAGTTGACGCCGTTTCTTTATAGTGTTGACATGTGGCATGATACAGCTTTAACTTGAATTTGTGGGTTGCACGATGAACTGTGTTCACAGACAATGATTTCTGGATCCGGAGCCCATGCAGTGATTTCCAGTACAGAATCATGCCTGTTTTTAAAGCAGTGCCACCTGAGGGCCCGAAGATCACGAGCACCTAATATTGACCGTCTGCCTTGTCCCTTGGATACAGGCATTTCTCCAGATTCTCTGAATCTTTTGATGATATTATGTAATGCACATGGTGAGATATCCAAAGTCTTCGCAGTTTTACATTGAAGAACATTTTTCTGAAGTTGTTCCACAATTTTTAAAGCAGTTTTTCGCAGATTGGTGAACCTCTGCCCATCTTTGCTTCTGAGAGACTCTGCCTCTCTAAAATGCTCTTTTTATACTCAGTCATGTGAGTTAGTCGCAAATTGATCCTCCAGCTGTTTTTTTATTAGTACCACTTACTTTTCCAGTCTTTTTTTGCCCCTGTGCCAACTTTTTTGAGATGCATTGCTGCCATCAAGTTCTAAATGAGTTGATGTTTTTCATGAAATGGTAAAATGTCTCACTTTCAACATCTGGTTCTGTGTTCTGTTGTGAATAAAATATGGGTCTATGAGATTTGCAAATCATTACATTCTGTTTTTATTTACATTTATTTACATTTTACACAGCGTCCCGACTTTTTTGGGTTGCAGGTCGGCCAAGACAAGAAGTGTGCTTCTTTAGTTCTGAACTGGAGCTTTGAGGCTAATGTAGCTAACATGTAATGGAAGCTAATACACCAGGACAAAGTAACATCTCTGTTTGCCTGTCATGTCATGTTAAGTATAGCCTAGACTTAGCTTAGCCATCATTCAGACTTATCTGTCTTGCTAACTGTAAACTTTGTGAAACTGTGACAAAGTTCTTGATATAACTGAGCTAGTTTATGCTGTAGTGCTAACAGTTAGTAGCTTATCTGAAGCTAACAAAATGGGCACTGAACCTTGAGGCCCAATCATACAGTAAGAGTAATGTTAGCTAGCTAGTTAGCGTCTTTGTTAGCTAAAATTATTGACTTAATACCTGCGTCAATAAATTAAAGTATTCTATAACTACTATAAAGCTAATCTGTAAGTTATGCTAGAAGTGAGGACCTGAACTTATGTGCTTTCTGACACTGTGTGACTGTTATCTATCAAAATGGACAAAATTTGGCTAAATTCAGGCTTCAAGAAGGCTGCAGCTAAAAAAACAGCACAGACCAGCATGAATTCCATGCTGGTTTAAGCTGGTCTAAGCTGGTTTATGCAGGTGCAGTGCTGGTTTGGTGCTACTTTAGCTGGTCACCCAGTGTGGTCGTGCTGGTTGACTGGCATACCACCACCCAACACACAACATAGGCTGGTTTTGCTGACGACTAGCATATTAACATCCATTGCTGCTGACCAGCATACCAGCATCCAAAACACATAGGTTTTTCTGGTGACCAGCCGTGCTGGTCTATGCTGTTTTTTGTAGCGGGGCTATTTTTTAGCTGCATGATGTTTTTTTTGTCAATTTTTATAGATAAGTGTCAAAAACCACATAAGCAAAAATCTTAAGATTATGTAACAACTCAGCAATACAGTTTGAGGTAAGCATGGGACATCAACATTGTAGTTCCAGTGCAAAACTAAAAAAGCAAACTTTGGACACAAAACATTTTGACTCACCACAAAGCTGATGCTTTAATTCTCCAACCCATCTGCGTCATATAATGAGGCTACGCCTGCAGAGGTGATCTGATGGTTATCTTTATTATTAAAGTCCGAGACAGAATCTGAGCTGTGTTCTGAGCTGTGTTCTCTCAGCACTAATTTAGCATGTGTTTTGAATCAGGTGCTTGATTTTGAGCGGGAGAACGAGTACATTCTGGTACTGAGTGCTCAGAACCCCGTGGCTCTGGTGCGGGGCAGGTACGGCCCAGCCTCCACCTCTACTGTCTCCATCTTCATCGACGACATCAACGAGGGTCCTGTTCTCTCCCAGAGCCACTATGAGGTCACAGTCAGGGAGGGGGAGGAGCCAGGACGGGTCATCGCCACAATCAGGGGTTACGACCCTGACTCTCATCCAATCAGGCAAGTTAATTTTTTTTACCATTTATGATGATTTGCGTGCCACTGGGGGCATTTCACTATGGTAACAAAGCCCCTTAAACTGCAGCTGTATTATTCAGTTACTACACTCTCAAAAATGATGACATTTTCTGTGTTATCACTATTTTAACAGAGCAAATCTATGTCACAGATCGTTAAACTATAAGCTTAGGTAAGCTAATCTTTATAGCCTGTTTAAATGTATACAGATATATACAGGTAAGTTATACATGTTATCCTAATTTGGACACGCAATATCTTAAAACATAACAAATGTTGTTTTTTTTGGTATTGATGCAATACTAAAGGACTAGTTTGGCAAAAAATCTGATGTCTTTGATCAGCCAGTACATGATTGGTTTCCATTTTTGCTTCTTTAGTTTAGTGCTAGAGCTACAAGGCCAATGTAGCTAACAAACACTAGAAGCCATTAGGCACCCAAATCTTTTCTGTAAATCTTATCTTAAGCCAAATTCTGACTCCCCACCCAAAATCCAGCTTCTCTTATCACGCACGTACATCAGGCAAGTCACATGTTCGCAAGATTACATTCTTGATTTCTGTTGTTTCTATTTCTAAACACAAATCTTCCGTTTGTAAATTCTTGACTGACATTCATTTATAAAAAGAAACAACCGGAATCACAAACGTAACCTGTAGCACCAGTGAGCCTGCCTGACGAGTGCTCAAGAAGAGGAGTCGGATGTTGGCACACCACCGGTTGTCCAAAGTGGCTTCAGATACACAGTGAAGTTTTGCTAATTTTTATAGCTCACAGTAAGTTATACTTTTCATCAAAATGACTACACCTGAACTACATTTCACAAACACATTGCAAATGCAGGAAATGCTTTCATCAAAATGACATCGGAGCTACATTTTACAAACGCACTGCTAATAAAGAAACACATGCAACTTCATAAACACTGCAAAGCTGCTCACAACACAACGAAAGTGAGCCACAACACGATGAGCCAAAACAAATGTTTCCCATTACGATACAGTGATAGTAGTAATCTGCTCAAATAAAAGTTAGCTTACTTTTACTGGTGAATGTTTGTGCTGCATAGAATTTAAAAGTCTGAATGGCTCCATCCTCTCTGACTGTCGTTGTGTTGTGACTGGCTTATCAGCATTTCTGAAATTGCGTCTGTTTCCTGTATTTGTGGTGTGTTCATGAAACGTAGCGTCTGTGGTCATTTTGATAAAAGTGGTTTCATTGTCCACAAATTTGCACCACTTTTGTAAAATGCAATGCTCATGTTGTGTTATTGAAGAAAGTGTTTTCTGCATTGGCAGCTTTTTTTTTATTTGCAGTTTGTTGGGTCTTCTCAGCCACCGTAATACTGTGTCCTAAATCACGTCAGCAAGTCTCTGCAACCTTAATGAAAATCTGGACATGGTTTGAGAAAGTTTTGGGGAAAAGATTGACTTCTACCATTTGTTAGCAATGTTAGCCTTGCAGCTCCAGAACCATGGCTGATTGAATACAGCTTAGGTAGAAAATTGTGCAAATTTGATTGTTTTGTAAAATCATTAATTTAAGACTTATTATTGAGTAATTAGTGTAAAATATTTGTTAATGATTTTGAAACTAATTCAAAAAGTGGAAATGTAGGAAAACATACAGACCATTTCAGTTTTAGGTGTTAAGTCAGAAGTAAAGTCTGTCTAGCAGCAAAAGAGGTCAGAGAGACCTTTATTGCACTCTATGTACTGTACACATAAATGGTCAGGATAAATGAAAATGGTCACTTTATGCAATCTACCTATTGTCAGGATGCTCCGTCTGGCCTGGGTCTGAATAATTTTGTGTTGCAATTTATGTGAAGAATAATCAACCATATTTCACCGCCCCCTGTTCCTGCAGGGCAGTGTGTGTAGCTCTGAAAGACCCTCTCTCATCTACAAAACAATACGTTATTACAGGACCACCCAATTCAGAACAGAACATGACCATGTCTTTAAGAACTTCATGTTCTTGACTCTTTTGTGCTCTTTCATAGATACTCGCTGCGAGGGGACACTAAGAAGTATTTCTCTATTGGGAAGTATTCAGGAGAGCTGAAGACAGTACAGGCTCTGGACAGAGAGGAGAACAGCACCTACACCATGGAGGTGGTGGCTGAGGACGGACGTAAGAGACAATGCATTTTACCAGAAAGAACAACACCAACCAACCAACCAATCAACCAAACAAACAAATGAGCACACAATAAAACTAAAACTTATAATAAGCAAAGCTAAATTTTAATAAATAAAGAGAGAAATATACTAAAATACACAGGTAAATCTGTACCTCGATAAAACAAAAATGTTTCGTAAGTTTTAATGTACGTTAATGCAATGACATTTCATTTCAAGTAATTTTGGACCATATCTACAAGGTTTTCACCTGGCAGCAACAAAATATTCTATATATTAAGTTAAAATGTAGATAAAATATATCAATTTATGTATAAATGTATAGTAATTTGTAAAGGTGAGACACCACACATCATTTTTTAAATGTCAAAACAGCCATTAGGTACAAGTTATTTATTTTTCAGGTGATATTTCTGAGGAGATTAGATGTAAAATAATCCATCTGCATAAAGAAAGAGCAAGTCTGATATGTTGAGTCGGGTTTTATGGACTGATGAGGCAAAATTTGCAATTGAGATTACTTGGATTGTGTTTTTGGATGTTTTAATGTAAGTTAAGTTCATGTAAGTTACTGTAATGATATTTCATTTTAAGTAAACTGGACCATATCCATTGGTCTATTTGTCCCAAAAATTTGTGTCCTGACAGCAGCAAAATAAAAATTTATGATCTGACAGCAACAAAATATTCTATATTTCAAGGTAAAATATAGATAAAATATATCTATTTATTTGTAAATTTACAGTACTGTGCACAAGTAAGACTCCACACGTCATTTATTTAATTGTCAAAACAGCCATTAGGTACAAGTTATTTATTTTTCAGGTGATTTTTCTGAGATTAAATGTAAGATAATCATCTTGTATAAGCAAGGAGAATGTTTATTATGCTGAGTCGGGTTTTATGGACTGAGGAGGCAAAATTTGCATTTGGGATTATTTGGATTGTAAGAAGGAGAAAAATACAACCAACTTCTAAGACTGAACTTTGGAGGTGTGGAAAAATATCCCTACAGAAACTAAATTAACAAAAGGTATACAGGCAAAGACTGGACACACTAAATACTGAAAAAAAGTATATGATATTTAGTTGTTGAGAGTTCTGTGTAATTTTCCGCTAAATAAATGTTTTCCGCTTTTCTCCTGATGCTGAAAAATGAATATCTTATACCCAGTATATGTTTTGACTGGACATTCAAAAAGATTAAAGGGTGGTCTCTGACTTTGACACAGTACTGTAAACCTTGAATGTCCAAGTTTTTTTATTTGTCCATTTATCATGTAATTTTCACATAACGTAAAGGGCAGCTGGCATTTTTAAATGATGTACAAAATGAAGGTTTTGATCCGACAGCAACATACATAGCAAACAAAAAGATAAAACATCCCAATTCATATGTAAATGTATGTACTCGTATCTTTATCAGACTAATTTATCGGACTCAGTTATTCCACTGAACTGTAGCTTTGTTTAGAAATAAGAGACGGTTTGATGTGTGTGTGTATGAATGAGAGCACACAGACACAGAACCGACAGCCCTCACATGTCTGTATGATGCAGGCTTCCTGAGCGCAGCTCAGACTCTTGACATTTCAGCTTGCAGGGACTGTGACGGCACTGATAGAGAAAGTCAATGCGAGCGCTCATTTTGTATTCAGGACCACATCCTCACATACTGACAGAAATCTCAGAGAGTGGAACAAGAAATACATGAGTCACCCTGCTAAAGTGCTTTAGGTGGAGAGAGGAAGCAGCAGTGTGTGCGCGTGTGTGTGTGCGTGCATACATGTGCATGGCTGTGTACACAGAATACCATCACCATCAGAATACCACAATCACAGTCTGCAATTACCAGTAATTCCAGCATGCACTGCTTCCTCACACAGGCATATGGAAGACATTCAGGGGTTGATTATTTCGGTCCGGGACAATGCAGTATCATGCAAAAGTCAGACCACTATTCATTTATTCAATTTCCAGTCAAAACAACAATTAAGTACAAGTTGTTTATTTGTCAGGAGAAGTTTCTGAGGAGATTAGATATAAGATAATCCACTTTCATAAGGAAGGACAGTGTCAAAGGACAATAAGCAGAGTTTAAAAAACTGGAGTTCAAAAAATGATTAAAGTCTACAAAGAAAATGGGACTCCTAACAGCCACCTGGAAGACCTGGTAGGCGGAGAAAATCAAGCTGCTTCAGATCTGAAAAAATCCACAGGTGTTTCTGTCCATCCTTCCACTGTGAGAAGACGACTTAGCGTTATGGGTCTGAAAGGAAAAGAAGAAAATCTGCACTAGAACACTGTGACTGAACATCTGAGATGTGGAGCAATGTTTTTGGGATGATGTGACTAGGATTACTCGGATTGGGAGAAGCAGAAAATGCAACCAGCTTCTAAGACTGAACTTTGGAGGTGTGGAAAAATATACCTGCAGAACTGAAACGCGAGTCTCCTGAAAAGAATGGAAGTTTTCCGTTTTTTATGTCTGACATTAAAGTAAATCATTAGTACTTAATGTCTATTTTGACTTGAAACCAAATAAATGAGGGGTGGTCTCTGAGTTTTGCACAGTACTGTAAATGGAGAAATTAATCACAAAAACCATAAGATAAAATTATTCTTGTACTCTGTTCCTCTGTGGGGTTAAGCTCTTAACATGTTTTATAAGAGAGATACAGATAGAGAAACAGAATCATCCTGACAGGCAGGAGAAGCTAAGTGGTGGCTGTAAAGCTTTATTGAGTTTGCTGTCTGTGTATAAATTTAGATAGATTGGAAATCTGCTTTTAGGTCATTGTCTCTAATGCCACGCTTTCTATCCTGGTCAGCTGGAGGCCAGCATCACATGCTGGAGTGCTCAGCCTAGTCCACACAGCTGTTAATGCAGACTGTGGCCAACCCATGGCCAGAGGTTAATGCCTGCTTTAAAGCCACTCAGTGGAGGGGAGAACGGGCTTGAGCTGAGAGAGGGACACTTTAAACTGGCTTTGTCATGTAGACTAATGGTATGGAACACTAAATCCATACAGCATTCCTGATTTAACTGTTTATTATCACAATATTTTGGGTCACTGCTCAAAGCTGTAAGCCACTACTACAAAGACAATAACGTCATGGAAGATATGCTGTCATTTTTCACCTTATTTTTCATGTGATCACTGTGTTTTGAGATTATGGCTGAAATGCCTGTTAGAAATAGCAGTATAGACCAGCACAGCTTATCAACAGCAAAACCAGCATGTTGTGTTTCGGATGCTGGTATGTCATAGTCATGTCGGTTGACCAGCTAAACCAGCACAAGACCAGCATAAACCAGCATGGAATGCATGCTGGCCTGTGCTGTTTTTTTTTTTTTTTTTTTAGCAGGGATTTCTGCTTAGGGAACGGAGATTTCATTTGTTACTGTTTTTCAGTGAAGTCAAAAAATATGTACATTGTTTATAAGTCATCATTTTGTCCCATTAAATCTCAGGCATCCTGGGACAACGTGCAAGATTGAAGATGAAAGTATGGCAAGCAAAAACAATATTGCAAGCACAAAAAGCACAGAGCTTCAGCAGAATGTTACTTCATAATAACTGTTTGAAAAAACCCAGTTTTTGGTGTTGAAACCTGTGCAAAAAAATGCAACCAGCTGACAAATTGCCAGTTGAATATCGCTGGTTGCTGTTAACAGACTTGCTTTTACTGGTTTACACTTTATATTTTCTTTATAACTGGCTAAATTCTGCCCTCACTACAGTAGGCTGAGCAAGTCAACAGAAAGCTAACTAGCTAACAGGCTAATGCTACAATAACAAAAAAACAGAGTTCAAGTTTAGCCTTTAAAGAAAGAGTTACTTAAAAACTGAGACATGCCAAGTAAAGAATGTCACTTGCACGCCTGTTAGGAGCTTAAAATGGCTGTATTTAAACTAGAGCTAACATCAAAATCTGATGTAGCGCTGAGCTAACCCCGCTAGCTTGAAGCTAACGTACCATCATGAACATAGGAGGAACATTATCATATCACAGCTGATGAGCAGCTGATGGTTGTGGGATAACCAATCAAAATGTATGTTTTACTCATGTCCCTTAGCTCAGCAATAAACTATAGGGCATGTAGCTTGGCTATGAAGCCTAGTTAAATAAGCATTTAGAGTTTTTAAACTATTTAGTATGAAATTGTAGTAGCAAAAGCTAAGCTGACAGGGTCGTAATACGGCCAACTGACTAACTAATTTAGCTAATAACTAACGTAGCAACTAGTCTATAGCCTAGTACAGCCCTTTTTTGAGTTAGAAGCAGTTACTTAGCTAGCAACTGCTAATGTTCGCTAGTTAATCAGCTTGGCCTCCGAGCTGGCTAAATTGTCTTCTCTACAAAAGAGATAACTAACTATCAAACTAACTAAAAGTAAAAATGAAATATGAAAGTTAGCTAACTTACCTTCCTTATGTAGCTGGTGTTAGTTGGCCTTCTAGCTGACTAATAGCTTAATTAGTTAACCTACCAAAATAGCAAGTTAACTACCAAAGTAGCTAAAAAATGAACATGTTAGACATTTTGTTTCCCTCATAATGATGAAGCACAATATATTTATCACATCGTCAGACTACTTTTCTCATATATATATATATATATATTTCTATATATATATATATATATATATATATATATATGTTGTGTACATAGTACAATAAATTTGCCCACAGTACCAAATTCTCATACTGATGTAGTCCAGTAGATTTACACTTTAAAATGAAAATGCTCTGCTGCTAATATCCTAATATTTCTTCATAATTGTTATCTGGAAATATTTTAATCAACATACTCATGATATTATGGCTCATTAAACCTGTACAAATATTTCATAGTATTATGATAATAGAGTTTCAGTCTTGAACAGTTTGCTGAGGTTTTCCATTCCAATGATAATTAATAGTAAGGGTAATATGACACTATTACTGGGCGTCATCTTTGAAGACAGCATATACAGCCGCAGACAGCATATTCATATATCTTCCATGGCACGATTTTTTCAGTATTATGTAGCAAGGTTCAAGCAAAGCGTGGTTCATCTGGTGATGCACAGTTTGTGGTAGGCCATGTTCACAAGGTATTTTGATATCTGTCAAAAACCAGCTTTGATACGCATTGCTGGTTTGCTGTGGGAGTGTTTGTGGGCGGAGATCAATATAAGTGGGAAACTCATTCAAACTTGAAAGCTTGTAAGCAAAAACCACTGACAGTTGCTGTTCTCTTTACAAAATGAAGCAAAAAAGATGTGGATGGGACCAGTTGCAGACTGAATTGTTTAGCTCGGAACCTGAGCTGACAGCAGTGATTAGTTTCTCTTCCATTTTGTTATGCCTGTCTAAAGCCCTGGCCCAAAACCGTCTCCTGTTGGCTGATGCATGGTATCCTCCATCAAAATTTAAACTAATCTTTCACACACTGTATTACATTTAGTGCATATTGTCCATCAAAGCATCACTTTCATTGAAATCAATGGCAAGATATGTGATACTAAAAAAGTTCTTGTGAATGCACTTCTTTAGCCCTTCATCAGTGGTCAGTTTCTGACCACAGAGCTGCTCTTGGATCACACAGCAGCTCTTAGACACTACCATATCACTGTCACAGTTGTGCTGAGAATGATCCCCCAACCAAATAACATCTGGTCCTGTGATAACCTGTGATGAATGGGGTAGAGGGCAGCAGATCATGTGTACGTGGCAACATATGGGCTACAATGCATTTGTACCCCTGTATAGTGAACCTATCGAGTGGGCAGACCTTATATACGGGCCAACGAGTGGAAGCACAAGATAAGAGTTGCTGATAAAGTGGCCAGTGAGTTTATATCCGACTATTTTCTTCTCCATCTTCCAGGCAACTCATCTCTCTCTGCTTCCGCACTGGTCACTGTGCATATTTTGGATGTGAATGATAACAGTCCAGTTCTAGTGGGCGATTACTCATGGAAGTACCTGTGCACTCCACGGTGGGAGGACCAGGCCTTGGTGCTGGCGTCTCGGGACAGTGATGGCCCACAGCATGGCGGCCGGCTCAACTTTTCCCTCCGCAGTGACCCCATAGTGCGCCGCAACTGGAAACTGACACCCATCAACGGTAGGTGACCCTGCTTGTAAGCTCAGCCTCAGACGCTCCATCCAGAGTTCAATGTACATTTTCGTATACAGTAGCACCATTTTGACAATCACTTGCGTCTTCACATCAAGCAGCTGTCCTTCAATTTGGGCCCTCAGTGTCAAAACTTGGTCAAAAAATGACAGACACCTATATGTTAAAGCTATTTTTTCTAGTGCCTTGTGGGATTTCAAATAGGATTTCTAGTATGTTAGCGCTAAGCTAGCACTGGTGAACATTTTTTGGCAGTTCTTGATTAAACACGGACATTGAAAGCTGGTAAAAGACTTTCCACGTTTTATTCGAAGCTTGTAACAGACAATAAAATATATTTTTCTTTATATGTTGCAGTGTTGCATTGCCTCTTTCAGTAAAAAGCCCTTCCATAGTGCTGACACTGTTTTGCATTTCTAACAAAAGACAACTGTTGGACTACTGTTTTAGACAGAACCCCATATCTAGGACTTCCAGAAGGCCTAGAGTGATGTTTTCCATCCATCCATCATCTAAACCGCTTATCCTTCTGGGTCGCGGTGGGGTGCTGGAGCCTATCCCAGCTGTCATTGGGCAGAAGGCAGGATACACCCTGGACAGGTCGCCAGTCTAGAGTGATATTTATTTATCAAAATTGGTCTCATCCTTTGGAAATCAAAATGTCATAAGTTGATTTCACTGACACTTCCTAATTATGTTGGTAGTTAAAGTCCCAGTGTAAAATATTAAGAATGTTTGCAGGATACTGAGTGTTATATTAAACATCCAGTAAAGTTGGAATGAAAAAAAACAAGAAATTTATCATAAAACATGGCTCAAAAATTACTTATCAGAGCTATCTGTAAGTTATTTGGGCGTGGCCTAATATTCCAATTAGAACACATGATTGACAGCCATCAGTCCACGGCTTTCAGTCTGCTACATGACTGAAACAGATCTAAACACAACAGGCTACAATTGAGTGAAACAGGCATTACGTATATAGGTCATGTTGCAGATTTGCTAGCTCAGTTATGCTTGCTAGTTTAGCTTTTGTTAGCTTTCTCTTGGAAAGTTTGTCCAACTTGAACAGAGAGAAGATCATTGCAGTGTGGTTTTGTTAAACATATGTAGGTGGGATAACCCACAACAGCCTTCAGATTGGGGAAGACACTGCTTATGGAAGGTTTACCAAGATTAAGATTGTCCAGTTTACATCAAAAGAGAAAAATGTTGAGAAAATACTTCGGCCATTTATTAGGCATCTGACAGTTATTCACAGGACATACTTTGTACATCATATATATTATGTGGCCACAAGAGTAAGATTAACCTACTTAGAAAGAAAATGCATATTTAGGTCCCCTTTGGTGTTAATCTTTTGGTTCGGCTCCTGAAGGCCTAACCCACAGAAAAGCTCGCTTGGCTGTATCTACCTAGATACCATGAGGGAGAGAAAAATTATGTTTTGACCTTTTTTGGTTGGCTGTTTCAAGATTGTAACCTTTTGTTTCCAAGCAAATCAAAACAATTAAATGAGAATATTATTGCAATACTTGTAAAGTATGAGAACAAGCATGATGATTCTATTACATGAAATGAACTAAAATTACAGACAGTGAGTGCATTTACATGCACTTAATAATCCAATCCAATCATAATTGATTTCTGCAGTTATCTGATTACTCACATGGTTATGTAAACAGCACACTTCGATTTCTTAGATCGGAGTAAGGTCTGATTAAGAAATCTGATGAGGAGAGCTGGATTTTAGCTCAGTAATCAGATTTCTCAGTGCGTGTGAACTCTTACTGTGAAAACAGACTGCAGTACCGGAAATAAGCCAGCGTTGCTGCGAGACGGCAGCAAAACACTTGTGGAGCGACACTGAAACCAAACATGTGCTTGAAGAAATGAAGGATTTAAAATTCTAGATGATGTATGTTCATATTTTCAGGTAAAGTGGCGCAATGTTTTAAAAAAAAAAGCTGAGGTGTGAAGTTTGAGTGTTACGCTACGTTTTCGTCACGTCTTCTTCTGTGAGTTTATTGGCCGGATGCAAAGCAGAAATCTGATTACTGCCTGACTCGTGTCGACCCAGAGTTTTCCCATTATCTGATTACTCAAGTGCATGTAATCATGTTGATTGGATTACTGACAAAATCTGATTTCTGCAGTTATCAGACCATTGAGTGCATGTAAATGCACTCATTGTTTAGTATCTTTTAGTTTTGAGAAGTCATTAGGTCTTCAGTGAAGGCTGAGAAGGCCGTTTACTGTCAAAGTGAGTGATTCTTGACCATATTGAAAGGCGAAACCCACCAGCCTCTCTGGCAATAATATAATAAAGGTTACCCAGCTCGTTACCTCCTTAGTCACTGTTGATCAAATGCTTAGGTCACACATGGTGACTCTACCACCGTGACTTTGCTCTGGCAGACTCAAGTGTTTCAGGCACGTGTAAAGAACATCAATTTAATTGCCTCCTTGCACTCGAACCCAAAGGCTGGCTCAACCCTGCTGACGTTGGCTAGGTTACGACGGCCCTTTGCTTCGATGACGTCGGCCCGGATAAAAATGGAGATTCAGAAAATAACATTTTCAGTGGCAGTGTGCCGATCCAGTAAGTGAAAGACGTCATCTGAATTAGGTCTAATGCAGACACCTGCCGGTTCGGCCGTGTGCAGAGAGCCGAGTGTGCTGAAAGACAGTGGGCTGGAGGAAATTGCACCCCCCCCCCCGTCTGCTCAGACGGCTCAGAGCTGGCTGTAATAAGTGCAGTGGCTCAGTTCCTGCGGCTGTAACCATCACTAATGTGACGATGCTGATGCTGGAGAACATGTTGACTCGGCCGAGATGACTGCGTCCATATCGATTCGCTGAGTCAAACGCCTGTCTGTGTCTCCCTGCCTTTTTCTGCTTGTTCCTTCATTCTTCTTCTTTCTTTCTTCTTTTTTACATTCTCTTTCTTTCTTTTTTACTTTCTTCATTCCTTTCTTTCTTTATTTCTTTCTTTCTTTCTGTCTTTCTTTTCCTTTCCATTCCTTCATTCTTTTCTCTTTCTTTCTTTCTACCTTATCTTTTTTCTTCTTTCCTTTCTCTCTTACTTTCTTTCTGTCCATTCTTTCATTCATTTTCTTTCTTTTTCTTTATTTCTTTCTCTTTTTTCTTTTTCTTTGCTTCTTTCCTTCCTTCCTTCCTTCCTTTCTTTTTTTGTCTTTTTTCTTTGTCTTTCTTTTTCTTTCCATTGCTTTTTTCTTTCTTTTCCTTCTTATTATATTTCCTTCTTCCTTCTTTTCTGCCTTTCTTTACTTTTTTTTCTTTCTTTTTCTCTTTCTTTTATTCTGTCTTCCTTTGTTTCTCTTTCCTTTCCTTCATTCCTTTCTTTCTTTCTTTGTCATTTTTCTTTCTTCTTTCCTTCCTTTTCCTTCCTTCGTCCTTCTTTCTTTCTTTCTATTTTATCTTTTTTTCTTTCTTTCTTTCTTTCTTTCTTTCCATTCCATTCCTTCATTCCTTTTCTTTCTTTCTTTCTGTCTTTTTTGTTTGTCTTTCCATTCCTTTTTTCTTTTTTCCTTCTTATTATCTTTCGTTCTTCCTTCCTTTCTACCTTTCTTTACTTTTCTTTCTTTCTTTTTCTCTTTCTTATCTTCTGTCTTCCTTTGTTTCTTTTTCCATTCCTTTCTTTCTTTCTTTCTTTCTTTCTTTCTCTTTCCATTCCTTCATTGCTTCTTTCTTTTTCTTTTTTTCTCTGTCTCTCTCTTGTTCTCTCTCTCCCTGTTTTTCCTCTTTGTTGTGATCAGCTGCATTAAAGGGCTCCTCTCTCCTGGTATGGGGTAATTATGCTCCCTTTAGTCTGTGTGATGTCACAGCTGGGGCTCCATTGGCTGAAAGGCTACATGTGCTGTTGGTGTTACTGTTCGCCTAATTACACCTCACAAACAGCCTGCAGCAAGACTTCCTACTGTCTTCATACACTCTGACGTTCTGGCAGGTGTGTGACGTAGGGCCATGTGCTCTTTCCTCTCACTGTATCTCACCCCCTGTAGAGAGTGCTCTGAGTGTGTGTCTCTGAGGGTTTGCAGTGCATTGCCTCTTCACACAAATGCACATCCACTGCTGTGCACAAAATAATGAATAGAGATTGCAGCCATGTAGCAGAGTGCACGGATAAAAAGTGTCATTGTTTTGATAGTATGGGAATATTCATCTTTTTAAAGAAATAGGCAACTTTATGATCTCAGTCATCGCTGTAGTTTTACACGGCCAGATGTGATCTTGTAATGGAATACACATCTGGGGGAAGCTTAAGTGTTTATCGTTGGAGTGCAGTGAAATCTGCTGCTAACAAGGCCACGCCCTCTAAAACCTGCCCCCAAATTCAGCTGTTTGAACATCCAGTCCCAAACTAAACATGCTAGCTGGTGGAATGCTATCGATAGCTAACATTTATTCCTAAACATGAAAGGTTCAGGAGCACAGGTGTGTTCATTACATCAAAACCATTCTATCTTTCTTTCTTTCTGTCTTCCTTTCTTTTACTCATGTTCCTAAACATGAATGCTTGAGGAGCACAGTTGTGTTTGATGCACTACACCCATTTTTCTTTTTCTTTCTTTCTTTCTTTCTTTCACTTGCAAAACAAGCTGGCTAGTAAAATACTAGTGATAGCTAACATTTATTTCTAAATATGAATGCGTCAGGAGCACAGGTGTGTTCAATACTCCAAACTTATTCTTTCTTTCTTTCTTTCTTTCTTTCTTTCTTTCTTTCTTTCACTAGCAAAACAAGCTAGCTAGTGAAACGCTGTTCATAGCTAACATTGTTTAGATAGCTAACATAGATATATGTAGATAGCTAACATAGCTAACAGTGGGGGCAGTCGTGGGCTGTAGGTTAGGGAACCAGCCTTGTGACCGGAAGGTCGCCGATTTGATCCCCTGAGCCGAAAGCGTGTGACTGAAGTGCCCTTGAGCAAGGCACCTAACCCCCAACTGCTCCCCGGGCGCTGC